ACAGCAAGCACGAACTCGAAGAAAAACGAGAGAATTAATGTAGACAGTTTGATGAAAAGGTTCAGTCATTGGGGATAAATGATATAGCAAAAGAGATAGAGGTCACTATAGGTGTTGCCACCGCCTACCGTCTTTGCAAAATTTAGTTCATAATGGAACATACAAAGACATTATATGAGCTGCATTCACTTTATTTCTTTAAAGGTGATGAAGGTCAGGTGGTTGTCATATAACGTAGGTGCAAAAGAGTTTTCGTTGATCAAGAATATTTTTGCCATTTCACTTTTGGTAGTGGGTGTCAAGAATCTAGACGTTGAAAAGCTACTCCATTTGACCTACGTCTTTAGGATGAATGGCAATGATATAATCACTTATGAGTTAAGGAATGTGTCCGATATAATATTCAATGTGCATCGCATTGGAGGCAAACGCTCTTTTTCACCTCACCTAAACTTCACCAGGACTCTTAAGTGGATGCTAACAGAAAACGGTTCAAAAAATAATCCCTTGTACATAAATAAAAACACCTTACTGTGAGAGGCCTGGTGATTGCAGTGCATCACTTAACAAAATTCGGCGAAAAAATGGGCCTTTTTATTTGGGAAAGCAAGGCTATGTGAAATTAAATGGAAACGTCAGCTCCACTCATATCATCATGGGAAAATTCCACTATTAGTCCTTCATCACCTTAAACGAAAAAAATGAATACATCTTATGTAACTTATTTAGTGATAGTCTCGAAACCCTACTTATAAACTAAAAGCATGGGTAGGGAATACTTTAAAACACGAGATGAAATAAGGGAAACAGGTAAAGTAGCATTAATTTGATGCGGTTTTGAAGCTGAATCTAGGAATATAAGTATTACAATTTTAGATTTGTGTGAAGATGTAGAAGTAATAATTTTACGTACAAATAGGATATATTTTCTTCGTTTACAAGTAGGTTTTCAAGACAACAAGTAGGTTATCCATATGCAATATTTAAAGCATCCTACTTAAGAAGCACTTTTGGACAGGCGATTGCTCAAACATAGGATAGTTACGCTTTCTAAACTTTATTGCTTTGCTCATAAAAATCCCTTGGCTTTTAATACTTTTTGATTATCCTTAGCTATTATACCATATTATGATGAAATATAGTCATATCCCCGTATATGATACATACTTTTAACTGACGGCAATCAAACTCAGGATAGGGCCAAAAAATACGGGGACTCGCTGATGAAGTGAGAATAAATGTAAGCATACTTTTAAGGCATAAGGAATACATAGACGGAAATATATTTTTTTCATACCTTATCTCGGAAACGCCAAGTAGGTATAACTTATAATAGTATTATCAATGAGATTAATTGGTATTTGCTACTACGTTGACGAAGTTATTTATTTCTTGTCAATTTAAAGACCATCAATACATTTTGGACTGAAGCTTGGGAGCTTATTTCACCATGCATCACAAAATGCACTACTCACTTAGGATGGACTATACTTTAGACCATTCATAGGTCTCATCAATCCCCTTAACAGGATTAGAACCTTGTTTATGAAGCTAAAGAAGTGAAAAGATCACTCTCTACGGCACAGAAACATAGCAGCGATAAGTTTCACAATACAGGCTTAAATGTTATGGCTCATCTCCGGTGAAGGATTTAGTGTTGCTACACTCTACTACTTATAAAAATTGTAGAAGTGCTTCGAGTTTAACAGAACCCACAATTGGGCCACCCTATACAAAGGATATAGGCTGCTGCTTAATTCCATTAATTGAGTTTATAAAATCAAAGTGATTCGAACTGCTGTCGAGCTTCAATGTGAACGGCATCTGAATGAAGCTAAACTCAAAATCCAGCATTCTCTTGAATTCAACATATTCAGATTCTCTATTACTTCACTAACACGACTCGAGACGGGTTCTATTTGACGAGAAAGAAATACGCTTTCCTTTTTCCAAGTCAATTATTGTAGGTATGAAGACCAAGATGGTATGGCCTTTTGTGTGGTTGCAGTCTCCTTTCGTTATATAAAAGTTATTTGACCTTGCTTTCGCAACACAGTCATATTGGTAGGAAGACTTAGAGGAACGCACCTACTCCGAAATTCATTGTCTGCATGATCATTTCCAAAGTTTAACCGTGGACGTGGTTCATTCCCAAACGTTTCGCCGGCATCGTCAGTGGGTATCGCCATCCTAAGCACCATGCAACAACTCGCCAAAGAGACAATTTTGACGAGAAATAAACTTGCTTTACTTTTTCCAAGTTAAATATTGTAGCTTCGTCCACTCTGAAGGCAAGGTAGTGAGTTATCGATGTACTTCGGAGAGCTTTATTGGACGTATAACCTTGCTAATTAAAAAAACTGACTCAGCTTATTGCTTTGCTTCATAGGAACCCTTTCATAATATCACGATTATCGGTTAGTTTCCATGCCGTTATCTGGTCCTTGTTATAAATAAATACAATAAAGAAAATAATAAATAATGAATAGAGAAGTTTAATATGGTCTACTGCTTAAAAGTAGTGGTGGTATCTCTAAACTACCGTCTACATAGAAATAAATTATTCTTTCG